TATGGTTGTACGTCATGTTACTTATTTTTATTATTTTTTTAAATATATAGAAGTAAAAGGAGCAGATCACGTGATCGACATAGAGATCGTGATCGATCAAGTCGTAAGAGAAGATCCGTTACAAGATCACCAAATAAAAATTCGAAGGATAACGGGAAAGATATGCCCGACGTTAAGGTTGAGCGAGAAGATTCGCCGCAACCAGAAAATGCTATACCTTTGATGCCAGTTAAAACCAAGCCGTAAATAACAAATCATATTTATGTGTTGTATTGAAATATATTTTATTTTGTATATTTTCAATTTTTTTTTTTTCGTAGGGAAGCCGCTGTAGCAATATCAAGATTGCAAGCCAAATTGATGAGCATTGCTGATGGAAAAAAGAAAAATAATCGTACACCGTCGCCAGAAGTGGAAAAGTCAGCAAGGAAATCGCGATCTGAATCTAAATCGCCAGCGAATCGTTCAAAGAAATCTAGGAGTAAGTCACCTAGCCGAGATTCAAAGACACGTCGATCGCGATCGCCTGCTTCAAAGTCTAGACGATCTCGTTCAAAGTCAAGATCTAGAAGATCTCGATCTAAATCTAGAAGATCAAAATCGCGCTCGCAGGACCGTAAATCCAAGCGAAGCAAATCCAAATCGCCAAGATCACGATCACGATCACGATCGCGATCCAAGAAATCTCGATCCAAGAGTGAGGACAGAAGTAAGTCGAGAAAATCGAGATCCGTCTCGAGCGATTCGAGATCATCCAAGTCCCGCTCAAAGTCTACGGAGAAACAGAAGGGCAATGCGGATTCCAATAGAAAACGCAATGGTAGTACAAGCAGCAGCTCTGAATCAGAAGAGGATAAAGATGGAAAGGATAAGAGTGACTTCGAGATACGAAAGAAGAAGGATGGCGTGCAAGCTAAGAGATCTTACAGGAAAACCAATAAAGATGATAGTGGTAGTGATAGCGACTCTAGCCGGGAAAGAAAATCAGCTCCTAAGCGAAGAAGTCCTTCGCCACGTAAAGATAGAGGACGATCTAAGGATAGAGACAGAAATAGATCACGAGACAGATCACGAGATAGATCACGAGACAGATCACGAGATAGATCGCGGGATAGATCACGTGATAGATCACGAGATAGGAATCGAAGGTAAAATTTATAAATCTTTAACAGTAGAATTAATCTTCAATTGTGTAAAAGTTACTTAAAATACACAAATTTTATATATATATATATTTATATAATTTGTATATTTGTATTACAACTTGTATTATCAAAAAACACAGTTGTATCCTTTGTGCCGAATCAGGTGCAATAAATATTGTATTACAATGCAATATTGTTTGCGGTATATATATATAATTTAATTGTGTTACAAAAAGTTTAGTAAGGAACTCGACAGTTTGAATTTTCGATGCCTTTTATTTTTAGAAGGTCATTGGACCGAGATCGCGACAGGAGGCGAGAGCGAGAACGCGAAAGGGAGAGGGAAAGAGATAGATTGGATCGATACAGTGGCAGCCGCAGCATGCGACCACCTTCCGTGCGCAGACCACTTAATAGGCGCAGGTTGGTGTCTTTGTATATGAAAAATAAATTTATCTTTACATTGTGTGCATAAGAAATTGTTCCAACAGTCCCCCACGCAGAAGTCCGGCGAGATATCGTCGTAGGTCACCGAGTCCTGAAGACAGGCGTCGCAGGAGATCACTGGATCGTCGAAGACGGTCATCGGAGAGACGTGATAGGCGCCGTTCACCCGATCGACGTGGGAGCCGACGTCGTTCGCCGGATGGACGGGATCGATCGAGCAGGTATGATAGATCTTCTTCACGCGACAGATCAAGTAGAAGGGATCGCTCCAGAGAACGACGAGATAAGGATCGTCGATCTAGATCTAAGGATCGTAGATCGAGATCCAAGGATCAAAGATCATCGGTGGATCGTTCAAGAGACGACAAGCGGTCTCCTGATCGTTCGAAGGGTACAAAGGATAAGGCAAAGGACAAGAAAGTTGATGAGAAAACTAAAAAACCGCCTGATACAGGATCGCGAAAAGAATTGCGAAATGGCCGATCTAAATCAAGTAGCTCGGAAAGTAGCGAGAGTAGTTCCTCTAGCAATGAGGAAGAGTCACTTAGGTGAGTGAAATCTTTGAACACAATACTTTCACGGAGTCTACAATCGATGGATAATAAATCAATGGATATTTGGTTGTGGTGTATTAGTGTTTGTTGAATAATATTCTATAAAAAACGTGATTGTGCTCTGTTTGCAGGAAATTGGTCGAAAGCAAAATGCCACAAGAGAAGCGAGAAAGAGAACGCGGATGCGAACATGCGGATGATGCCAAGAAGAAAGAGAAAGAGAAAACGGTGAAAGAAGAACCTGCTAAGCGTCCAGAAAAGGAAATTAAGAAGATAGAACCTGTTTCAGTAAAAAAGCCCGAACCTAGTGTTTCTCCTAAAAAACTTCAAGCTACTTCACTCCCTGTTACCAGACACAGAGTAAGTTTAATATGTTCATTAATTATTTACTTGTCATATAGGTTAATAAAATATTCAATTTTGTAATATTTACAAGAAATAAAATTGTCATATAATATAAAAGAAAATATTGATACTCTTTTATAAAAGTTCTATTTTTTTCTCATTTTCAAGTTCTCGAAGAGTTTGTCGCGTACACCTTCGCCATTTAAGAAGACCGAAGACATCGTGGCAGTAGCTAAAATTAAACAGACGATTAAGTATGTTGCAAGATATTTGCATAATTAACATTTTCGTTATTACGATTGTGTGTATATTTTACTTTCAGAGAAGACGCTAAGGACGAATCACCAACGAAGACTGGAGAAATAAATTTTACCACTGGAGATGCTTTCCCTCTAAAGAAGGATGAGAAATCTTTGAAATCGACAAAATTAGTAACAGAAGATAAAAAATCTACTCAAAAGCCATTGGAACTTCCATCGAAGAAACCTGTAGAATTGGCTAAAAAAACAAAAAGAGAAAAGCGTGATGGTTCTACAGATAGTGAGGATAGTGATGGTGAAGGTAAAAAATATTTTTTAATTATAGCTAATGACATAATAAATATTATTAAATGTTATCTTTTTTTTTTTTAATATATAAATTTATTTTATAGGCAAGAGAAAAGTGAGAAAGATAGAAAAATCGAAGAAGTCTAAGAAAGTTTCGACGGATGAAGATAAATCTGACAAGAGCAAAGCTGGATCCAGTTCGGACTCTGAGGATGATAGAAAGCATTCAGATAAAAATAAGAAAGCTAGAGATACTAGTCGAACCGGTAAGTTTTTCGTCTCATAGATATAAATAATTAGCAAGTAATAATACTTAGTCATAATTTATTTAAGTACATAGTATAATTGTAAATAGCATTAAAAAAATATAATTTACATATAAATAATATGTAATTTTATAAATAATTTTTATTATAGAATCAATAGATGATCGTAATAAGGATAAAAAGGATACTAGAAAACGTGAAATTGCTGAAAATGATTCGCGAAAGCGTTCAAAAAAAGAAATAGAAGAAGAAATAAAAAAATCAAAAAGATCACGAAGAGATTCTTCTTCGGGTGAAGAAGAGCAAAAGTCTAAAAGAGGTAAAAATGAAGATGATAGATCGAGATCTCGAAAATCGAAGAAAGACTCTAGTTCCGATGAAGAACCTAAAAAAATGAAAAAAAGGAGAGATACGTCATCTGATGATGAAAAATCTAAATCGCGAAAGTCCAGAAAAGATTCAACAAGTGAAGATGACTCTAAATCAAAGTCAAAGAAATTGAAACGAGATTCCAGTTCAGAAGATGACGATCCTGGAGATAAAGATTTGAAGAAGAAAAGAAAAGTTGACGATAGTTCGGACGATGAAAAGGTGAAGAAGAAACGTAAGAAAAAGACAAAAACCAGCACTAGTGAATCGGAGGTAATGATTTTATATCGATAAATTTATTATTTTCAATCATGTATTAATTGAGTTTTGATACTTTTAGGAAAGTGAAGTCGAAGAAAAGAAAAAAAAGAAAGAGAAGAAGCACAAGAAACACAAGAAACATAAGAAGCACAGGAAGCACAAAAAGAAGAAAGTCGCGGATTCAGATGAATCTGATGTAAGTGAAGGTAATACCGAAGAACTGGAAAAGAAACTTCGGGAGAAGGCATTAAAATCAATGAAAAAGGGACATAGTATTGAACGAAGTGATTGAGGTTAATATATGGCTCTTCGAAAATGTGTCATGCGTGTATCTTTTATCGCAAAGCATTTTAATTGTATTATGAATAACATTCGTTTCTTATCAAGAATTGAATTTTTACTTATCACTCAATCTCTTCGGAACAAGATGGCATTCATACATTGAAATAGTTTTCACAAAAAGATATTGAAAGAAACGTATAATATATTTAAAAAACTTGATGTTCTCTTCACACTTCATTAAGATTTGTCAGAATTACGTTGATGACTCATTTTCTCGTATCAGTGTACAGAGCGTACTTATTTATATTGATATAAATATTCGTGTATGCTATAATGTAAAGATTTTACATGCTTTAAAAAATCTGATGGAAAAATCATACATTTTCTTAGTTCCTAAGTTGAAGTGAAATTAGGACTCGTATATACAACGATTTATTTGAGTTAATTTGTATAAAGCTTAGTTTTCATTACAGTGTTTAAATAATAATAAATATAGTATACTTGAATGACAATGTTACAGCAACTTGTACAAGTCGAAGAACAATCGAAAACCCATTTGCAAAAATTCTGTGTTCCCAAATGATATAATCGTTTCTGTTTTACAGTGACTCCTAATTTCTCCTAGACATCAGAATCGCCATACCGAATTTGCAGACGTAATGTAATTTATTTAATAATTTACGTAATTTGCTAGTATAAAAAATATAGAAATTTTGAAAATTATCCGCATTATATGTATTGTTCATTCGAATCTCCTACAACTCATCCTTTTACAAACATCTTATTAAAGATACATATTTATAGAATTTCTTATGAATTTTCTAATGTAGATTCAAAGTCTGGAGAACAAATTAATTTATTGTTCACTGACCCAAGATTGACAAGATCACCAGTTTGTGATGTAGCATCTATTTTTACAGCTAAAAGGTCCTGAAAAGATTAATTATTGAGAATTGTAATATAGTATTGTATTCCTTAAATTACAAATTATAAAAATATAATTTTATACTTGTTGGAAACGTTGTTGCGCTCCAATATCGACGAAAAAACTTATTTCGCCGAAACGTAATCTCGCTTTACCAGACTTTAAAATTTCGAGTTTGCCTAAGAGACCACTTTTTAAGTTATTCAAAGTACAAAGCTCAGTTTTTGCCTTATTGTTATTCTCACTACGAGTATTTGAATCATTTGATTGTTTTGATCCTGTTTCTTCTCTGTTGGATTCCACACCTGGTAAAGATTCTGGAAACTGATCAATTATTTAATAGTTACATTATTACATAAGTAATGATCATGTGTTATAAATTACAATCTTACTTGAATTAATGTATAAGAATTAGCCTTGTTTTCGGTTATTTGAGAAATGGTAAATAATTCTTCTCTGTCTTGCTTGCTTTCCTTTTCTTCATTTATGACTATAAAAGAAAAAAAAATGTGTTTGAATTAATAAAATTATCAAAGAGAATTATTTTACACTTACTTTCACCATTTTCTGAAATAACCGGTTTCTTATCAACTTTATTATCAATCATATTGTGTATATCTTTTTTAATTCTTGGTAACGTGAGAGGACACATTTTTTCATCAATTTCTGGAGCATCATCAATGAAATCATCTCTTAATAGATCTTTTAATCTTCTGTCTCCTTCTGTCTTATTAATAACCTTATTTATATTTAGTTTTGGTTGCTCCAGATGTTTTGCAGCATTTACTGTGCTATTAGAAACTTTGAAACCTTTACTCTTTCTCTCTCTAACAGTAGGTGGTATAAAGATTCCTTCTGACCATATGCCAACAGACTAGAAATATTTAGAATAATCTTATGATTTATTAAAATATTAAATTAAAATGTAAATTGAGAAGACTCTTAAAAACAAAATTCAAAGATAATAAAACAGAATTTTATAAACTGAGCTGATTATATTTGTACTATTACATACTACAAGTAATAGAATGTTTATATATTGTTTATGTTAAGTTTACACAAATCTTTTTCATATAAATACTATAATGTAAAATACATAAATTATTATTATTATAAATTGAATAACATAGAAAAAAGTAATTAAGTTTTAGAATTATTAATATATTCATTTAGTATTGATCAATAAAAGTATATGAAAGAAACAGGAGCTTAGAACAGGCTAATGCAACAACAAAGAATATCAATTATTCATAGATTATTTATATAGATGATATGTAAAATATACTTTACATAATTTACATTATATATATATATATATATATATGTATGTATATGTGGTGTATATTATTAAATTTTAAGTATAAATGAAAAATTATTCTGAAGGATATTTAGAATATTAACATTACTTACCTGTATTACATTTCCTCTGTCTCCTCTTCCACGTCCTCTGTCACCACTTCTCTCTCGTTCTCTTCCACGATCGCTGTTTCTCGATTTCACCAGATCAGTTTTGACCATGATTGCTTGATCGCTGAAATCAAATTACCTTTAACATATGTACTGTGTCACAAGTTAATTAATAACTTACTCTTTCTTTTTATTCCTTTGCACATTGACATTTGGCATGTATACTTTCTTCGGCTTTTCAAGTTTAATATTTACACCTTGATTTCCACCTAGTGTCAGGTCTCGTGGTAGTCGGTAGGATGTTAATCTCTGTGTGGTGGTGGGTAAACCGGGTTCCATTTTAATGTTTTTCACTCTGTCTGAAAGAGACACCGACGACGTCGACGATAAATCAGAATAGTCGTCAACTTTAACGCTTAATATCTTGGTTCGCGGAGCAGAGCGACACTTTTTTTGCAGATTTTTTCGTTTCATGCAAAAACGCGTTAAGTCTAATTTCATCGAAATTGGTGAGGAAGAGTGTCTCCATTATAATTACCATCAGACGTGCTGGGTTCTGATTCAGATGTGCCAGGTTCTATCTTTATTCGAATGTTTGACATGTTCGCATGAAGGGCGTCGTTCGAAATAGAATTATTCGAAGACATGTTTAATAGACCTCTTTTGTTTATCAATACACGACGGCTGGGTGTCTGAAGCTACGACGCTTCTACTTCTTCTGATATAAATGACCCGGGTCCTCGATGATGAGGTAAATTTGGCCAAGCTTGCTAAGCACAGTCGAAGTCGGCAATGCTTTCCAAAAATAATAATGCAACAGTCGAGACGAGGCGAAACAGGTTTGCCTCACTCAAGCGATCCTTTAAGACTTACGACTCACAACACTTCTACGAATCACTACGAAATCTACGAATGCGCGTTCAACTTGATTTCAGAAATTTCCAGAATCAGAGATTTGAGGGCGAATATACGAGAGTGCAAATACACGATCGAAGATCGAAGACAGCACGTTACGGTCAAAATAGAAAGCACAATAATGATTATGTACGAACGAATAATTACAGATGGTAATAAAGAAATTCCGTTACCTACCTATGATAAATAGGTTAACCAATGTATTCAACAGTTCGACTAGGCTAGCGGTCACTATTATTGGTGTATTCTTTTAAATCGTCCAATCAGATTTATAAATTTAAATCCTGTGTCCACTCGGTCCAAATTCTCGGACCGAAAAATATGTAGTCAATCAACTTTTAATTGCCGCTTTTCCGTAAAAACTACACGTTGATTGGCTACACATTCCAAAACTCAGACCGAATTCTAGCACCATGAACGTAAGAACAAATAATCAACTTTGATTGTCTCTCTAGAAGAAGCTATGATAAATTAAGAATGTGGAGTATGTTGGAGCATACGACGTGAACAAACGGTTTTTAATAAATTAAAATAGTTATTTCCCATTTCTGTAATACCTCTTATTCCTTTTACGGCATCTATCTTACATCCTCATTGTCAACAAGGATGAAATGATTCACAACTTACACCGTGTCCTTGCTAGAAAATGACCTCAATTGCCATAATCATCAATACAACACTATTATACACTCCGCATTCAGTGCGCGATTAGCTACTATAGTTAATTGTGTAAGCTTTTGTTTTCTGATGACAATGGCTGCGTTCAGCAGAAAAAGCAGCTTTGCAACTATTGTAAAATTCTCGAATATAATTGGTTTATACATTTAGTGAGGAATTAAAGGCAAGACCAATCGTTTTAAAGATTTTTACAACAATCGTAAAGCTGTTTTTTCTATTGAACGTAGCTATAATTATATGTTATTAATCTCAGTGGCTATAAATTAGATTGGAGGATATTGAGCAGCCCACAATTTTTCTTTTTTCATTTAATACAGGAAAAGGCTATACATTTAATTTAATTCTACTCGAAATCATGTTTAAATTGTATATTTATAGTTTGAATCGCATGTGTGTAAATCGCATTTAATTGGTAAATCTCATTGAAGTTTTCCATACAGCAGAAAAATGTCCTAAAGATATCACATATCCCAAATATATCTTTAAAAGATGTCTCTATGATGTATTTTACATATCTGCTGGGTTGGTGTTAGGCCAACATTCCTTTAAAGTGTTTTAAAGTCCAAATCTACAATAAGTTAAGCCGTAAGAAATTATAGTCGAAAGCGAGGAGAATAATTGATTATAACTTGTCAATTTTCTCTCTCTCTCTCTCTCTCTCTCTCTCTCTCTCTCTCTTGTAGATCCGGATTAATAATATTTAGAACTTAAATTATTAAGAAATTTGCGAATTAAATATTTTATCATCGTTTTTAATTTTACAAAAATTGTTAAATTGCTTTTCACCAAATTTAAAAAAAAATTTATTTCAAGCGCAAATCTTTATTCAAGTAGAACACAAAAGTCATAATAACATCATAAAAATAAAACCATCACCATGACCTTATTTGTCACTTATAAATTCACTTTTAAATATCAAAATGACATCACACGATGACTTCCTATGATATCATTATGATTTAATTACGACTGTGTGTTCTACCTGAATAATTTTTGTCCATAAATTTTCAAAAATTGAGAAACGCGACGCATTCCCTCGCGTTCGCGTTTGTTGTGCCCGCAGATAAGCGGTATCTGCGGCACGGCAACCTGCGGAAGACGGCGGCGTCGGCGCCGACGACGATGTTTGCAGAACGGTTAGTAGCAACAGTGACATGAGCAGGAGAGGAGAACACTGCCGGTGCGGATGAGGTCATCGTATGGTTTTTTAGCCGTGCCGCACGCCGGCAGTCGCGACGCGGAGCGCCCGAACGCCGGCCGCTGCCGCTGCTGCATGCGTTCCCGCTGTCGCCGCCGCACGTGTTAAGGTGCCGAGCGAGCGAGCGAGCGAGCGTTGCAAAGCGAAGGAGCGAGTCGGGATATGCGACGACGTGACACGTGCCACGTGCGTTTCAGCGTGCCCGCGAGTTCACCCAGGTTGTCCTCCTCCGGCAGGAGGTGAATTATCAAACCTCTGCATTCGTTGCATCGCGTTTCGCCACCTCTCCTTTCTCACCCTTTTGCACGTTTCGAGGGAGGCACGAATTTCGCGCCGAGGTGAATTCCTAAATGAGGATCAGGTCCTGCGAGCAACGCGATGCCTTGAAGCGCGATCTCGCACGCATAGTTGGTGTTAGATGAGGGTCCGCTTACAGAGAGTCCATTGTGTATCTTTTAAAATGAAGTGAAAATTACAAAGTGAGAGCAAATTCATTCACTGGAGCAGCTTGGTATTCATCGTCCATTCTTATTTTAAGATCGTCTTAAGTACAGTCTTAAGATATATCATGAACCAATCGGAGAGCTGTATAAAAGCATCGTAAGATATTACTTAAGACGGTCTTGAAATAAGAACTGACTATGAATATCAGCTTATGATTGGTTTATGACATCTTAGGATTATACTTCAGATGGTCTTGAATTATGAGAATCGAGACCTGTCTAGGTGTAGATTGATGAAATTATAAATATTCTAACGAATTCGCTCATTTTTTTTATAATTTTCGCCAAATTGTGTGATACGCAATCGAACCTCAAGACGAGAGCAGCAATTTAAGTTATCTCTATACATGTAGGATGTTTGACAATTGGTAACCACACACACATGAGAAAGTGAGTGAGTCGCTGCCACCGGAATTATTGGAAAAGGTGTTTGCGAAGATTAACACTTCTGTTGGAAAATACTATTTCGAATACTGCGTGTAAATTAATGTCAATTGTAGAAAGCAAAGAATATCCTTGAGGATCGAATTAAATTCTAACAGAAAACGGAGCACTTTTTCCGACTCAGCTAATTGTCAGTTTATTTGAGTTCTTCATATTTTTTATTTCTCCGTAATTTAGCATCGCTTTCATAAGAAACGTGCGTTGTTAACAAGCTATACTTTGAAGATATTCTTGTCTCTTGACGAGTGTAATTTGCATAGTGAAGAACTTTCTTCGTGGTGCGAACTGTCCTTTCTATAATTTCATATGATTATTTTCACAATGCACAGCTGTTGCGTGATACGTGCAGGATGCCGTCACGCGTGATAGTATTCGCGTTACCTGCGTGTCAGAAACTGGGAATTGAAACCGGTACAATTTCGGTGAGTTCATGTTTCCACGCTATATCGAAATACGACGGTATAATCTCTATATTCAACTGCAAAAAGAATATACGTTTTTTCTATCTTATCTATACATATACATTTTCTTATCTTATCTTACATTACATCAAATTTGTGTCTTAAAACTGAATTCACCGAAATATATGTTTGTTTTTTTTTTATATCAGTATATTGCGTAAATTCGATAGCAATTTAATTCGGAATCATTTTTTGTTTGTTGCCATTAATAAAATCCAACATTAGTTTTGGTTTGCTTGTAGCGTCAGAACTCATCGAAATTGTAACGACAGTTTTGATTGTATCCAACATGCGATTCTGCAAGAAAGAACGAATTGATTTTGAAGCGCCATTTCTGACTTCGGCCGTAGAAGAGTGGATTTGAAGTTCGGTCAGCCGCAGCGTTCTTAAACCTGTTCTGTACTCCCCCTCAAACATCGGATACATCGACGGGTTTTCGAGCAGCTGAAGTATCCGAGAGCGTGTCTTCCTGAAAGTCTTTCTCGCTGGGAATCTCTCCTTTCAGAATCTTCTCATTAGCCGTTCCGTAATTGCAGATGAATTATTTCGCGCTTCTGGATATGATATTTCGCACTTTTATCACAAACATGTAACGCAAGTCAATGCTTATAAATTCGATAAAATTGTTGATTTATAAAGAGATATAAACAATATTATTTTAGAAATGTTTGCAATTATCTTTTACGCATTTACATTTTTTGCGATATTTAAAGTGTCAGTTTACAATGATAACAGGGAGGACTTTATCACATTTGAAAAATCAGTAGTTCGTTTACGTTAGTAAAAGTTAAAATATAAATGTAACAAATAAAGAGATAATTAAATATAAGCTATTGTAAACTGAGACAACAGTGATTGTTTAATGTGTTTTAAATGCCGTTGATGACGCATCGTGGTTTGCGGATAGATAAAGATTCTGAGCTTCCTTTAGACACGTATGTCACGATAAGCAGCTAAAAATGTCTCTAGGAAACAATAAAAAAGAATAATAAAAAATATTACCTGTATGGCTGTAATAGCAATTTGTATAAAAACATTATGTAATAATGTATTAGAATCTAGAGAGATTTACCAGAAAATGTTATAAATTAATTTTTTTAATTAACACGTATTCTATAAAATAAGATAAAAACAGAGTATTACATATAGAGAAAAATGTTTAGTTGATTAACTGGAATTCTGGTGAAAAATGAACAATCTAGTATTCTGGTTATATGTTAAATTTCTGCAGGTTAAATGTATTCGTTAAAAGATAATCAAGAACTTGCTGATTAAATCTATTAGAATTCTAATAAATTTAATTCCAGAAATCTAATAGACTTCGTCAGAATTCTGGATTATTCGTTTCCATCTTAAAGTTCCAGTTAATTAAACCAAAAATTTTTCTTTTACAGATAGTATGTAATATAAATAAATCGAGTATATTAATTGATATAAAAATTGTTTTTAACAATGATATTAAATACTAACTCATTTTAGAATTATTGAGAAAAACAGGACATTTGAACATTTTCAATTTCTTGCTTAATTAATTATGTTAATAGTTCTTTCTTTTTTTGTATTTACAAATTGATTATCTTTGAAGAAACTTATATAAGATAATATAGCTGATGATATTACACTTGCCAGTTAAAAAAAGTATAGTTTCTTGATTAATTTAATGAATCCATCGTGTTTATGATCTGTTATGAAATTATTATGAATAAATTCTTGTTAGAAAAGTTATTTTT